ATACTACTTTTTTTTTTTTTTAAAAAGTTCCAATTTTTATGTCCCAACGCGTACTAAAATTTGGTATCAAGCGCATATTTTTAGAGCCCGTTTGGACATAAGAGATTTTTCCCTGTTTTTAAAAAAAATTTCACTTTTTTCCGAAATCAGTGTCTGTTCATAAAATTTTCAATTTTCACTTGAAGATGCATTTTTTGGAAATTTTCGAAAATTTGAAAAACTCAAAAAAGCTGTTTTTCAAAATTTTCACTCAGATCACTCACAAAACTTCAGAAACAACCCAAAGTTATACTCATGTCCAAACACAACTCCAAATTTCAAATACCATTTTCACTTGAAATTTTTTTTCACCCTTTTTTGGAATTTTACAATTCTTATATGTCCAAACGCCCACTTAATTGTTTTACTCTCTCCATTTCAATTTATGTGAATCTATTTTCTTTCGTGCCAAAAAAGAATGACCCCTTTCCACATCTGAAAATAATTTGCCTCTAGGCAATGATTTATAGCTACATAAAATATATATGCCTCATGTTACACTACAAGATCAAAAGTTTTTTTTTAAAAACTCCATCCTCAGTTAAATAGATTAATATAAATTAAAACGGAGATAGTAGTTTATTTGCATTTACTTTATACATTATTAATATTTAATAAAATTTTCAATATAAATTTAAAATCTAACCAAAAATAGAGTACATCCGAACTTTTATTGTCATATTTCAGTTGCTCAGCTTCATTATATTGCTAGAAATTAAGGTAAACAGTAAAAGCTAAGGTAGACAAAATATACATATACAGAAGGCAAGTTCTTCATTTGTCCTAAACTGTCACCTTAAGCTGCTTACTTTCCTCCTATATTCCAAGTGCTTAATATATAGCATCACAAAGCAGCTGAAAGACGTTTTTCGTTTTCATTTTTATAATTGGCTACACATAATATATATAGCATATGTTAACATTTTCAACCAGAGATTTTTTTTAAAACCTTTCTCGGTTCAACTTCATCTTTCATTAGAAACAAAAATGCACCACAAAATCAAAAACCCATTAAATTCTTGAAGATGGGTTTCAAGAATATATTCTTGATCTTTTCCTAAGTAGATGCGTCACTAGAATTTGAAGTTTATGAGTTCTGAACATGAAGTTGTTGAGTTTTGAGTTTATATTACATACATGAATGCATATTTGTCAACAAATATACAAGGTTTGGATCAGTATTACTAGGTTTTCAACCAGTATTTCTTATGCTAGCTCCGCCCCTGCTCGGTTTATGTATTTTTGTGGTGGTAGAGGTCAAGAAACCCGTGGAGCAAAAACAATGTTCTATATGAGGAAGATTCAAGTGGATTTTGATTTTGCAGCAATCAAGAATATGTTTGGAAAGCTAATGCAAATTCAAATGGCTTGCTTTTCCATCTCCTTAGTGGATTCTAGAGTTCGCATTTTGTTCCTTGTACTTATTTTTCTATTTTGCTTTGTATTTGATATTTGATTGTGGTGTTTGGCGGCGAAAGGCGGTGGTCTGTGGTGGTGGTGATATTGGCGGGGACGGCTCAATCTTCTTTCACGGTACCAATATTTATCTATATCATCTTGATCATGATTTTATCTAGTGAAAAATAAATTTTAAATGTCGATTATGCAGCAGCATTACATTTCTTTTTGTCGTTGTTCAATGTTTTCTCATTCAATAAAAAATACAAAAACAAAAAAGGAAAAATTATTCTATAATTTGCACGATTTTGACTTTGTGAATTCTCAATTCTAAAAAGATAATTTCAAGTCTTAATAACTGAATTGGCTTCCCTCCATTTTCACAATAAGAAGAAAAAGAAGAATTTTTCCAACTTGAGTGTATGAATCCTTAGAAAGACGACGATAACATAGCCAGTATAATCTCACAGGCGGGGTTTGAAGAGCGTAGTGCGTACGCACACTTTACCCCTGCCTTGAAAGGTAAAGAGGCTGTTTCCGATAGATACTCGGCTCAAGAAAAGATAAAATCATTAGAAAGACAAAAATTTTAAATTTAATGTGTATATATTTAATAATTTTTTTAATATAAATACATTATTTAAACAAAAATAAATAAATCCGATCTAATGATTATACTCCTTAATTTGTGGATCTAGGATATGCAATAGATGAACATGTAGATAATGACCCAACATAAGATAGTAGCTATGCAAATTACTAATTTTAGACTTTTTAGAATAGGATAACAAAGTAGCACTAATATAGGCTATTTTCATAAATGTACATTTACAAACATAAACACAAATAGTGTACTGTGTTTGTACATCTGTATGGAAGTGGACAGGTCAGGGTAATAGTACTAAGGCTTTGGGGGCTTGGGTCAAAAGTTAAAAAAAGGGGATGACCTTGTTGCTTCTATCATCACAGTCATGCTTTAATTCTTTGTTTTTCAATATTTCTTTTATAAATTTAAGTTGTATATAATGAGAATACAAATATTGCATTCTTTTGATAATCGTGATGTCTCTGGACTAACTTACGCATACTTCGATTAGTTTCTCGGGATAGGTTTCGCGGGCTAGGTGCACATTTCATCGGCATATAACTCTGCCTATCAAAGCTTGGACAAGTAGAAAGAAGGGAAATTTTCATAAAGCACTATCTTTTAGTAGTAATTAGCCATCTATAGATACCATTTGCTATATTACGAATTATAGATACCTTTTATGTGGTTATAAGATGTATTTGATGTATTTAAGCTATTGTATTCATGAATACAGTAGCAAAAATAGGCGTGAATCAGGGAAGTCCAGCTAATTAGTTGTTGTATTCGAGTGTATTCGACTGTATTCATGGAGTAAAACATGGGATTACAGCTGGACAGTTTATTGTATTCGACTGTATTCACGGTGTGAAATAGGGGATTACACTGTTTTTAAAACGGAAAGTGAATCAATTAACATAATAGACTCCTAATATAACTCAACAAACTCAATTATAACTCACAGAAATTGTATTTTCAGTTATAAAAAAGATTCTCAACCGAAAATACCCCAAAAACATAGCAATCTTCAGAGAAATTATATTATACATCTGAATACATAAATTATATTTATTAAAAAAACATATGAATACATTCATGGCATATAGCGAGACAATGAATACAATAAAATACATAGAATACAACAGGATACATTGAAATACAATGAAAAAAAAGACAGTGAATACAATGAAATACATGGAATACAACGAGATACATTGAATTACAATGGAAAAAAAAAGACAATGAATACGATGAAATACATGAAAATACATGAAATATATTAACTGAAAATCAAGTTGCTCAGCCCCAAACTCCGTCGTCTTTGTTCAAGAACAAAAACTAATTTCCGGCGAATCCGCCGTAGCAACGTTTGAAGGTTTTTGCTTCACCTGAAGTTTGAACCTCGAAATCTCATGGTTTATAATCCACTTACTTATTATTTTATTATGTTATATCAATTATTGTTTGTCATAAAGATTTACCTATAATTTCATTGTAACTAATCTAATTGTGAAAATAATACTTTTTTTTACATAAATATGTTTGCATTTTGGTTTTCTCCGTGTTGGGAGTGATTTGTTGCTAATTTTCTGCATCTTTTTCCTTTAAGGCCTGTTTTAGTTTTGGAAATTTCCTTACAATGATTTAGGAAATTTCCTTCAAGGTTTCTTGACCTAACGAGAATAATAGTTGCAGGGTTGGTTTATGTGTGCCTCAAATTGGAAATATCACTAGTTAAAATTGTACTACAATTATAATTAAAAAAAATAAAAAATTGTACCTTCCCTGGAATTCTGGAAATTTGTATCATTGACAGTGAATATAAAGGGATCATTTGCTCTTTGACAATTATTTGTAAATCAAAATATGTATATTTCATACATATATTTTCAGTGATTTGAATTCTTTATTTGATCTAAAACACTAATGCGAATAAATGTCTATCATTCTCTATCCACTTTTAATTAGGTTGTTTGATTTTCTTTTCAATTTTAATAACCCCAAGTTCAGTCTACCCCTGTTAATTATTTTCAGTGTCATAGAAACACAGGTGCTTAATGGTTTTTTTTTATTTTATAAAAGAGAATAAATGTTTTTCTTTGTTCTGTTTTTCTTGTATAAGTAAAGAAAATGAACAACTAAGATATGTGAAGTAAATAATTGACCCGCAATTGCAACTCTTTTTCAAATTACTATACTTCAGCATTAAATGTCTACAGAAGTCAGTGCCTTAGAGGACTTAGACTAGATTTGATAGTAATAGATATTTGTCAGTCAGGCAGGGCCAACATTTATTGGGTCCGAAACTTTTCTAATGGTTTTTTGGATAAAAAATACGTTTTTATTACTAAAAAAAAAGTAAAGTTGCATAATTACCTAATTTGCAGTACTATACTGCGAATTACCTTAACGAAAATTTAGCCGTTAAAGTAATTCGCAGTACAATACTGCGAATTATTAAAAAAAATATTTTTTTTAACTAATTCGTAGTACAGTACTGCGAATTATTAAAAAAATAATTTTTTTTAACTAATTCACAGTACAATACAATACTGCGAACTCCAATTGTTGATTTTACAATCCACAGTAAAAATATGAACAATTCATTTCTAATATTCAAAAAATTAATATTACATGCCGAATGGACATGACATTTCTGCAGACGGAAATCGTATCTTCTCTGTAGAATCTATAGTTGATTATAAATATATGCCAAAGACTTTGTCTGCTTTATTTAGACGGAAACTATAGAGGTTTAAATTAAATAGATATAATTTTTTTCCATAATTAGAAGAACAAAGTCAAAAACAATAATAGTACACTGCGCTTGTAGAATCAAACAAATACGGCCTACGATTGAAAACTCTTCAGAGTGTCACATTTAATACGCAAAAAAGAGTGCATAAAAAAAGAAAAAATAAATAAATTACATATCTGGAAATACTCAATTCTGACCTATGAAATATAATTTAAGCCTCTATAGTTTGATCTTCTTCATCTTTAGCTGCAAATCTTGGCTACCACTTGAAGAATTCTGATTACCTTGAGAAATTGGGGTGTCATTTGTTTCCAATTTATTTTGGTCAGCACTTGAACCATATGAACAACTTCCAGTGAACAACATTGTTGAGTAGCTTGAGGAAGGCCAAGGACCAAAATCAGCAATACTATTTTGAATAATATCACTACCTATTTCATCCCCCATATAAGCATTAATATTATTGAAATTGAGATATATGGATGGATCAAATCCATCTAAATCAGAGTTTTGAGAAATGGAGGAAAAATTGCCAAGATTTTCCATAGCGACATAATAAGGTAGTGGAGGTAAATCTTGGTGCATGGTTGAAATGATTGCAGTTTCGGTATTATTTTTCGGTGAAGGGTCTTCAATCGGCAATCCTTTGCCGATTGCAATTATGTCACTAGTAATTTGAGGTTGGTATTGTTGGAGAGGGACACAATTGGCAACAAAATCAGAGTAGGAATTTGGAGTATCTTGGGAACTATTATCATTATGACAAATATAATTAGGGTTATGATGGATGGGAAAAGTATATGGTGATTTATCAAAATTTTGACTGAAAGGAAGGGTAGGATTTGGAGTTTGCGGAGGAATCAAATGATTACATTGTTTCAACATAGCTACTTGGTCATCATCCTTGGTTGTGCCATTATAGTAGATCACACAAAGTGTCAGCTCCTTAGTTGTCTACAACCAAAACATAAAACAAAAAAATAAAATAGAAACAAAAACAAAAACAGCAACATAAGAAGAAGAGGAGAAATATATCAGCCAAATATTTCCAAGAATAATCTTCAAAAAGAAGAAAGAAAGAATTAAAGGAAACTTTTTATGAATAATAGAATAGGAGTATATCGTTTATAGTCTAATGATATTAGTAAGAGTCTTTCAAACAAAACGTATGACCCGATTTCCACTATTCTCTATCTCCTTTACATTTGTTAACCCTATGTAATAGAAAAAATTATATATATATATATATATATATATATATATATATATATATATATATAATTATTTCTCAAATCTTTACATTGCCAGTGTAAAACTTTTTTACAATCGTGTCACCTAAAATATATTTACAAGTAAGTCTTCTTACAACATGAGGTTTAAAATTTTGAAAATATAGCAGTTTATATGCTACAATGGGCGAAGCCACACTTTGGTTAGGGTACTGGTCAATTGATTACCCTTTGTCAGAAAATTACATGGTATATATAGGTAAAATATTAGGTTTTAGAGGTACATAGCATACATTGAACACCCTTTATCGGATTTTTTTTTACTTATTTCATACCCTTAAGAAAATTCCTGGCTTCGCCACTGGTTACAATAGGTAAAAGCATGATCTGATAGTAAAAGATTGTTTCTGATTCCTTTTAAAATCTTTGATCAAGTCATATAGTAATATCAGCTTATGTATAAGATCCAAAATTCAGAAAATTCCAACTGCATACTAAAGAAAACTGAAAGCAAGAGTAAGAAAGTTACCCCATTGAATAGTGGACGAGGATGATGATTTTCTGGTAATCTAAACTCCTGCATAAGCCAAGAAGTTTTTGTGCCATTGGATTTCTTTTGACCTTTATTTTCATAGTAAACAAGGTTAGTTTTTGTTCCAATGATAGCTCCATTCTTGTCCGTATGATTACTACGTGCTTGTGAGGCTTTCCAAAATCCTTCATCAGAATATATCTTTCTCTGGACTTTCTTTCCATTTTCATACTTATTCGTTAATGGAGTAAAGAAGTACATACGTCCTTCGGTATGTTTAATAGCAAACCCTAAAACCAAAAAAAGAAAAAAAAGAAACTCAGATTAAGATCATTCTTGAACAATAATTCATAGGAAAACAGCGTAAAATATTATCATGTACAACTCAAAATTGAGCAACTTCCCGTTAGACTCTTGGTTTAATATTCATTAGAAAAAAAGTTTCGGTTTTTGCCCTTGACTCCTGACGCCAACCAGAGGGTACGTGTCGAAGAATTTGGACACACGGAGTCAGGCGCGGAGCAAGAGTGAGTTCGGCGAATCTAATAACTTTAATCCAAACTTTATATTTGCCTTTAAAAATTTATTGAATATATACAAAATTATTAATTTAGAACCCAGTAACTTAGAAGTAATAGAATTCCGAACTCATTATCTTTAAATTATGGCTCCGCCTCTGCGTGGAGTACTCGACCAATTCCATGTTAGAGCTTTGTTAATGGCAAGGGCTAATATATACGAGACAGTTTGTTAAAACAAGGGTATGAATGGACTAAACTATAACAGAGAACAAACTTGATCAAGTTCGGATAATACAAAGATAAATTAATATGAACTCGACAACAAGAAGAAAAATCTAAGAAACTCAATTTAGTACACAAAATTATCATTATTGATCAACAATAGTCTTCAAGAAAAGTTGTGAAATTGTAATAGCTAGGGTTAGGAAAATATACCAGATAGCTCTTTAGGGTCATACTTATAAATATCAAGCTCATTGATAATTCCAGGTAGAATTTCACCATCGCTACTCTTAGTTCTCAGATATAAATTCAGTTCTTCATCCGTCGGCTTGAATATGACGCCTTGTGGCAATTTTTTCTTCCATTCATATCCATTATCTGTTGTAGCCATAGCCATAGCAATGCAACAATTTTTTTAGAAACCCTAGAATACGGTTTGTAGTGAGATGTTTTATGTTTTGAGATATAATGGGGGGCTAGGGGGAAGTACTGTGTATTAATACTGCTAAGTTTTTCGTAATCTAACTTAATATATGATTTGGATTACTACGCAATTATCACGTTACCAATTACAAAGTTAATTAGGACAATCTTTTGTTCGAAAATAGAGAATAATGTAATAGTTAGGGTTTGTATGTAGTAATACTCTATGTCCAAATATCAGGTTCAAGAAAAAGAAATCATCTATTAGAAAAAAAAAGGATAACTATAATGGTAAAAATCTATCTTTACAATATTTAAGCCAAGATAGTACTAGGGGAAAAGTTTCCAAGTGGTCGTTTGTCGAAATGGTCCAAGAAGTGGGGAAGTCTGTGGTCGAAGTTTATACACTTTGCAGCTAAAAGTGATCTCTGCCCAATTTAATACAAATATTACGTAAGTTATATAATCCTTCCTACAGGACATTAGTAAAAATAATATATATATATATATATATATATATATATATATATATATATATATATATATATATATATATATATATATATATGTGTGTATATATGTTTCTTCCTAATTTATAATTTTATTTTGAATGTGTAGGAAAATACGGGTGATGCAATTGGAAATGGTGGCCACAAAACAATTTGAATCATTAAAGTGAATGGTGAAGACCTTTTGAACAAGATGTTTATTTTTGTTGACACTATAAATATGAGTACATTTGGTTTTGTAGAGGTCTTTGCTAGTGAACTTCTTGAACCAACACTGCTTTATTACTATAGATAGTACAGAAAGTATGTTTTTTTTTTTTGTTAAATTTATTTCAAGTATATGCATTTGAATTATTTTTATTCTATTACTTATCATTTAATTTAATGCTTCAGATATATATATATATGTGTGTGTGTGTGTGTGTGTGTGTGTGAGAGAGAGAGAGAGATAGAGAGATATATAAATAAACAATTGAAATTTTTGTGAGATCATTTGTTAATGGTCATGAGAGGCCATTTCCTCAAAAAATGACCCTTTAAAGTCTCATGTATTTTATTTACCAATTTTTCGTATTATTTTTACTGATCTTCAGTCCCATGAAAGATACAAATGAATCGATACATTAAAAACTCGAGAGCTATGTCTCTACAAAATAACATATGATATAAGGAAATACAAACCGACTCGATTCATTGTCTCAACGCTGTATAAAACAAAAAATTTAATATTAAACAATTTCCCGATATAGAAAGTTATCAATTTTTTTAGAACAAACTAATTGAGAAATAGTGTTACTCCATATATTAACAACACTATATAATTATGGAAATTCTGAACATAGAGAGGCAAACGAGTCAAGTAGATATGATAACGAAATCACTGTATTTATTTTATTCAAATGAGAAAAAAAAATGTTAATGTAAACTACTATTTCATCTATCTGCAATAAATTGTCCCAACAGCCAATACATACTCTCCTAAAAAAAAAATACCTAAATCACATTTGGAAAATACTTAAATAGGAAGTGTTATCTGTAGAAAAACACGCGTTTGAGAGGAAGATTGTATTGAAGAATCGTGTATTTCTGATGATGTTACAAAGCCATAAGTAGCTGAATTTATACAAGTCACAAAACAACTACTACTAGTGGACTTAGAATTCTACTACTTGTATAACTATTACATTGAGTTAGAGTTCTAACTTTATAATACATTGTAACTATGCTTATCTAATTCAAACTTATCTTTATTATGATCAACTTCTTCAACCCTTCCCCTCAAGCTAGTGAGAGGTGTAGTTACCACTCCTGCTTGCTCCGAAAACATGCAAACATCTGCTTAGTCAATGCCTTAGTATGAATGTCAGCTAGCTGATCTTATGATCTAACAAACCTTGTGACTAGCTAACCACTAGCAACCTTTTCTCTAACAAAATGATAGTCCATTTCAATATGCTTTGTTCTGGCATGCATTACTGGATTGACTATCATATATAGTGCACTTAAGTTATCACAGAACAGGGTTGGTGCACTTTTTAAACGAACCCCAATGCCATTGAGAATGTAGGTTATCCATGTCATTTCAGTTGCTGCCGAGGCTAGTGCTCTATACTCAGCTTCTGCACTAGACCTTGCCACTGTGTGTTGCTTCTTGGATGTCCAGGATATGCAATTTGCTCCTAGGTAGACATTGTAGCCTGTAGTTGATCTCCTAGTCATAGGACACCCTCCCCAGTCTACATCAGAGAAACCATATAGCCTGAATGGTGACTGAGACAAGATTCTCAGACCATACTCAGTTGTGCCCCTCACATACCTAAGGATCCTCTTTACAGCTTGGTAATGAGTGCTGTTTGGGTTTTGCATGAATTGACTTGCTAAATTCACTGCATGAGCTATGTCTGGCCTTGTGAGAGTCAAATACTGCAGACTACCAACAACACTTCTGTATAGTGAGGTATCAACTGGATCATCTACAGCTTCTTGTAGGCCATGCATCTGTGCTAGAGGTATGCTTATTGCCTTAGCAAGTGCCATGCTAGTCTTGGCAAGTAATTCTGCAGCATATATACTTTGATTCAGATGGATACCTCCAGTAAAATAGGTGACCTCAATCCCTAAGAAGAAGTGCAAAGGGCCAAGATCCTTCATAACAAATTCCTTACCTAGTTCATCAATGATTTCTGAAAATAGTGCAGTATGACTTCCAGTGATAATTATATCATTAGCATACAGAAGGAGCAGAACTGTTCCTCTTTTACAATGCAACACAAAAAGAGAGGAGTCTGCTTTACTGCACTTAAAACCAAGGTGGAGTAGGTGCAAACTGAACCTGTCAAACCAAGCTCTAGGTGCCTGCTTAAGACCATACAGTGCTTTCTTTAGGAGACACACACTGTCAGGATGTCTAGAATCTTTAAAACTTGGTGGCTGACTCATGTACACCTCTTCCTGTAGATGTCCATGCAGAAATGCATTCTTTACATCTAGTTGCCTAATACACTAGTGGAGACTCACAACTACTGAAAGAACTACTCTTATAGTGGTTGCTTTAACAACTGGGCTGAAGGTTTCCTCAAAGTCTACTCCTTCAAGCTGTGAATAACCTTTGGCAACTAGTCTTTCCTTGTACCTGTCAATGGATCCATCATCCTTTAATTTGGTTTTAAACACCCACCTAGAGCCAACTATATTCATACTAGGTGACTTAGGCACCAGTATCCAAGTCTTGTTTTGGTGAAGTGCATCTATCTCCTCTTGCATAGCTGCAAGCCATTCTGGTGAGCTGAGTGCCTCATTTATAGTCTGTGGCTCCTTAGCCACTACCAGACACATGTGTCTCACTGGCATGTACTTTGATTTCTGTCGTGTGACCATGTGATGAATTTGTGCATTTGATGTGTGCTCTGCTGGTTCTGCATCATCAGTTGGTGTAGGTTGTAATGGTACAACTTGTGTGTTAGGTTCAACATTAAACCAATTAGAAAAGTCGACTTCAAGTTGAATTCCCTGTGGATCATAAACTAAAAATTCATTAGAAAGTGCACTGTCTTGAGCTGAGCTATTTGGTTCTTCACTCTCAGCAGTCATGAGATCATCTGTTCCTGTAGGGATTGCTACTAAAGGAGATTTAGCAGGCTCAACAGCATTCACATCAACAATGTGATCAGTTGTAGGTGCAGGCTCAACAACCTCATCAGCAGCCTCATCAAGAGCATCAACTGGAGAGTTAGGGGTGAGCTGATCACTAGGTGATGTTGCATTAACATCACCTGTAGGTTGATCACCTACACCAATTAATGATGATCCATTCAACACTTCCCCTGAATTAGAGGAGTGCACATCTGGTCTTGAAGAGTCCTGCAACCTAGAGAAAAACTCATAAAAGGTAGCAATGTGAGTAGAATCACTGGAACTGTCTAGTGGTGTATCTGGTTGCACATAAGGCAATGTGTGATCATCAAAGACCACATGTATTGTCAAAAGCTCTTATGGTAGGTGGGTGATAGCATCTATAGCCTTTGTGAAGGTTACTGTATCGAATAAACACACAAGGATGGGTCTTTGGAGAGAATTTTGTTTTTCCTTTCAAGTAAAGAAAACATCTACATCCAAAAACCTTTAAACTAATATAATCTTGATGCTCTCCAAAGAGATTAAACAATGGAGTTACCATTTGTAACACTGATGAAGGTATTCTGTTAATTAAGAATACAGCTGCCAAGAAGGCTTCAACCCAAAGAAACTGTGGCAGCTTTGCATGAAACAGCAAGGTCAGACCAGTTTCTACTATATGTCTGTGTTTCCTCTCAGAGACTCCATTCTGCTCAGGTGTGTGAGGGCATGATATATGTCTAACAATACCACAGTTATCTAGATGTTCAACAAATGCTGTGCTATTAAATTCACCACATCCATCACACTGAAAAATCTTAATAGTCTTTGTGAATTGTTTCTCAACCATCTTTTGAAACTTAACAAAAATATCATAGAATTCAGATTTCCTTCTTAGTGGATAGAACCAGGTATATCTGGTACAGTCATCAACAAACACTACATAGTATCTCATGTGCTGAGATGATTTAACAGGAGCTGGACCCCAAAGATCACAATGAATTTTAAATAAAGACTCTTTTTCAATCTTATTTCTCAATTCAAATGGAAGCTTACATATTTTTCCTAATTGACAACTGACACAAACAGTAGGAACTTTATTCCAGTACTTAACATCAATACACTTGTTGCTACTAAGAATCTTTAAAGACTTTAAGCTAGGGTGGCCTAATCTAGCATGCATATTGTTCCACTCCTTTGATGCAGATAAGGCATAAAAATTATTGTCTTCAAGTGCATATAGATCATTTTTCTTATATCCCTTGGCTAGAAGTCTCCCTGAGCTCTTATCCTTTACAACAAAATCAGACTCATCAAACTCAAGTATACAAGAATTGTCCTTAGCAAGTTT